GAAATAAAACAATAAATGTTTGTATTATTACCTGGAGAGTAAGGGTCGCTTTTTCTAACTTTATTGCTAAAATGTTTTCAATCTGTTTTTCAGCAGACGAATCACGGTATAAACTTGTAAAATACATTTCCTATTTGGCTATACCACTTTCATATTCTATCCTGCTTTCATGTTTATCTACTAGACACTTTTAATATTGACCGAAGGTTTCCAACGGTTTCCTAGATAAAACTTATTGTTTAACAACCGCAATTACGACGATATGTCATCTTTTAATAATGAAATAAATGTATGGTTGCACTTAAGACGGCTAATATTGTAATTATTTATAACGGAGATTTTAATACTAATAGTACGAATACCTCTTTAAAGTACTTTGCATTAATTAATGAGGAAATAATTTATATATGAAAGAACAGCACATGGTCTTAGTAACTGAAAAAATAATTGGTAATAAAATATAAGAAAAACTAACGATGTGAAATTGGAGAAAACAAGGTTATAATAAAATATTTGAAAATCTCTATTTAACAACAAGAATAACAAAGATAATCTTCCACTTTCAAAGCTTTTTTACTAAAATATAAGAAAAAACGTCATTAATATATATATATATATATATTATCTGCAATGGAGTAGTTTTAAATATGTAACTGATATATTTAAACAACCAGATTTTTGGGTTCCTTCCAACATTATTTTGTGTTATATCTCATTATTTACATATATTATGATTGTTACTGCAAGAGCTCTAATTCTATTTATGTCTATCTTCTCCCAAACTCTGTGTAAAGTTTTAAAACTTAATAAAAGAGAACAAAGACCAAACATGTTATTGTGATAGTTTAAGATGTCATATTATAAAACTGAAGTGCCTGAAAAAAATACTTTTAGCATTTCCAGCCTCAGTGATTATCTCTTACGTGTTATTTATGCAAATAAAATAAAATAAAGGAAATATTATTTCACTTTTAACAAAGTTTTTTAGAGATTATTTTTCTAATTTTGAGCTAATTACTTGCAGAAAATTTGCCAACTATTTTACAGTTTGCAAGACGTCGAAAATTATATTATTTTAAAAACCACTTTCAGGAATTCAAATTAACTTCAAAACGATAACTTATACTAAACTATATTATATTTCCAGTGTCATTAAAATAGTTTAGAATCTAAATTCGTTGAGATGTAATGGTATACAATACTGAATACTCCACGTATTGTTTAAATTATTTAATTTAAGAGTATAACTTGTCTAGTCGCTAGCTTTCATTAGAAGTTCTCCGTTGACTTAGGGGGAAGTCTTGCATATAAAAACAAAATATAAAACTAATGAATTAGGACTATTATAATTAAAACAAATGAGACCGCAGTGATGCTGCTGCTGTAGTTTATGTGAAATTTATAATTTAACGAAATAAAGTGAAGTCAGTGATATCTACGAACATGTCTTTGCAAATGTCTTTCTAGTTTAACCAGACATTTTAGTTATCTGGTTTCTGGTTGTAAAACATGTAGCTATAAAACGTTCATCTGCACGCTTAGAAGAAGGGTTGGAAATGTAATAATGACAAGAATGTTATTGAAGATACAGTTAGCAAATCTTGCTAGTAAGTATACTCATCCTTTTTCTCTAAATTACAAGTTTAGTGAAACGCTCGATTCAATTACATACACGCTGATGCTGTTGGTAAAAGGTTTCTTGGTTCGTTTCTGATATTCGAGTCAAGCTACACAAGGACCTTCGAACTTATAAAGCAGAGGGAAAGAAGTTAGTCAACAACACTTAGTGCTAATATTTGGGCCGCTGTAATCGTATAGTGAGATTTGACAATCAATTTTATAACACATCTGTAGCCCTAAGTAGTAGAGCGCGATTTTGCGACAACGGGACGCGAACCACGAACCCTTGGATTCACGCTAACTACTAGACCTCTGGCCTTAGGTAGTAATATACGTATTTGTAGTTATAAGATGAAATTAGGAATTATACATAAATATTTAGGCTAAAATATGTATCAGTCCGTTTTGTTTTAAAACACGTGAAACACGTCGCATACTTGAAACGCATTCCAGAGCGTGTCTCAAGGTGAAAATATTTCTTTCTATAGGGAATTGAAATTCTAGGCCTGTCTGGAAATGGATAGGGTTAATTATAGAAGAATAGATTTTACTTAATTACATATAAGAAGCAAAATATTCGCAGTAAAATATAATTATATTGAGTGCTAGAACCGTACTGCCGTACTGTCTAATTGATAGGTCACTTTAACCACACCCTTATGCACTCATTTCGGTAAGATATTATATAATTTCATGGTGGATAAGTAAAAACGTACTACCAGGTAATTCTAAAACATTCTAACTATATATATAGGTGTCTAGGTGAAAGGAACTAGTTTAAAACTAAAATGGAAGTATCACCAAAATAGACCCTAAAATAACGTTTCAAAAAAGTGTATTTGTAAATCGTTGGAGTTTCTTCACAAAAATACCACATTTTTTTAGAGTGTAGCGCAACATTTTCCGTTGATATTTGTTTATAGAAACAATACACCAAGATATATTTCACTGAAATAGACAATTTGTTATATCACTGTATACAAAAAGAGTTGTGCCCACCATTAGCCTTTTATCATAAATATTTTATAACTTACGCAAGACCCGTACATATCAAAGTATTCCAGAGTGACGGTAGTATTATAACATATATATGCTTGGGACCCCTGATTCGAGATAATATTCTTCTGAGATGAAAGTTAATATTACTTGTAATATAGAACATTTTGAAAAATACTGTGAAAGATCAGTTTATCCTAATAAAATACAATAAGTTTCTTATTAGACTACCTTTAAAGATGAGAATAATCATAACCTTACAGTAATAATATCCTATTATAATAGTTAAAATACAGCTATTACATTATTATTGGTATGGCGAATTTTAATTATATATGATATAAAATTATTAACATATAATTCAGGAGACAAATGTTCAAAATGTGATATATTTAACTAACTATAAACCTTTATAGAGGAATATCAATAGGTTTTAACATTTTTTCTATATCCTTGCTTAGATTAAACGAAAATGATTGTCCCTGTAAATAAGCCGGCATGGCATGATCTACTAGTTAGTTTACTAGGATTCATGGTTTGCTACTTGTTGCCAGATAAACCTTTTCTAAATTTAGGGTCTTTGGTGCGCTATTCAATCATAAAAGGGCATCCCAAGAGCTGACAGTAGGTGCTGTTGAGTAGCAGCCTTCCCTCTAGTATGTTTGTTATTTATACTGTAGTGTATTTATACACTAAGTAAAATGTAACGTTAACAGGGTTACGTCAAAATAAATATATTTATGATTGTATTATCAGTGTAAATATTTTTATGAATCTCACACATATCTCTCAGTACTTGAAAAATAAACGCTTCAAATATCATTATTCTTATATTTGTTTAATTTACTTTATACAGATCAGTTGGTGCCATTCATTAAATAGGCCACAAATATATATATAGAAAAACTGCCCTCAATTGTCTATTGAATTTTGGAAACTCCTAGCTATATCGATCGTAATCTCAGTATTGATTTCACATATATAAAGCAAAAGAAATTGGCCAACAGAGACAGCCAGTCAACATTCTTCAAATCTTGACAAAACTCGGAAGAATTAGTGGAAAGGATTGTTGTTCTTGTTTGATCTGGAATTTCGATTACAAACTTTCTTAGACAGTAAGTTTCTAACTTCGTTCTTGTAACAATTACAAATTTTCTCAGATAGTGAACTTTAAGTTACATCGGTCTATTTTCTTCTGACCAATGTTCTGTCGAAACATGTAGTATGTTACATCATCAATAAAACTATTCTTTATGCTTATAAATCGTTGTTTGCCTACCTATCAATATGATTTGTAGTCCACATATTGACATGTTGTACTATTTTGACCTAAATTTGACAGATCATTAACACACAAGTTACATAGTAATTTATCCAAAACGAAACCTTGTACTTTGTACGTTATAGCTTTGGATCACTAGTTTTCTTTTTAACTCTTGTTTCTTCAAACCTGTTACTTATGAAACTAATAATAAACTGTTTTTTATAATTCTTCTCTTATAAGTTAATTATTAATCATTATAATGCTAAACGAATAGGCTTATAGCTTTCAGTACTATACATTAATGTGTGTTAGCCAGAATAACATAACATGCAAACAACAAGGGACCATTCAGTTTTTTAAGGCTGTCCTTGCGCACATTCTTTTGAGGACAGTAAGAATTTAAACACGCCTTTTATTTTTCAGAAAATCATCGATTTTTCTCTTTGAACTTTCTCACTACCGCCGACGGCAACTCATTCATAAGTCAATACCAAACTATCTTAACTGGAACGTAGCTAGTTGTTTTTCTTCCAGAACGAGTGTTATAACGTTACTGTTAAAAACTGACGAAACACCAAAACAAAATATTGATACATAGAAACGTACATGGGGTTAACAATTTCAAATAACTTTTCAATTAAAAATGACTCATTTTATAATTTTGAAGGAAAAATAAGAAACAAAAATTACTAAGGATTCTAACAAATTTAATAATAATTAATTTAAATAAATCCTATGCTTTTAAACAACATATCGAAAATAAGGTTCATCTAATGGACATAAACTAAATATGTTATTTTTTTATGCCAGGCTAAAAACATTGTGCCCAGTGTAGCATATTGCTCAGGAGAGTTTTATCGATGCGTGAGTACAGTGTTTGAAGTACTGAATACACCTCCCTATTTTGCTTTTTTTAGTTTTTTTCTCTACTAGTAACATTAGCAACGTTTAGCCAATCATCTTTCATTTTGTTACGACATTAGAAAGTTATGGCTGCAGCGCTGCACAGACTTCCCGCCAGACCATCACAGGAGATTCAGTTGCTAGGATACGGCTTCATGGATCGCCAAGATTTTCTTCGCGCATGCGTTACCAGCCTTGAGGTGAACCAGGCAAGTACTGTAATTATATATCGAATTGAGCCCTAGAATGGCGGTTGAATGCTGCAGCTTCAAAGTTTATCGAAAATATTTGAAATGATAAAAAATACTATGAAAATTAAGTCAATACTCGGTAATTAAATGTTCGCTACCTGAAATTCGACCTATCCAAGATATGTAAGATATGAGAATTATGCGCTATCATACAGAAGGTATTCTGCAGTGGTTTCCTCTGTTATGAGTTTTGCAGCCACTCCCATGCAACTGATTCTGAGATAAATATCGAACATTATAGCGTAAAAAAAGTAAACAACTTGAGGTAGGAAGTTCATTTCTGATTTTTTTTTGAATATCTGAATTATTTGCTACTGATTTGCAATAATAGCTTGTCACTTGAGCTAAAAACACGCTTAATAGTTATACAAATTTATCCTTATCTACCAGATAAATTTATCGTGTTTTTTATAACCAGACAGATTGTATTTTGTAAAACGTACTCTGAAGCTACTGTTCTTTTTCATTAATTCACGGAAAATACGGAAATTTTGATTACGTACGTGCTTACTTAATCATCTTTATATTTAAAAATACTATTTTTAGCTTATCAGTTTTCATCTTACGTATTTTTATGTTCGTATGCTATTTATGATAATATATCATTAATATGTTTCAAGAAGCGCCCGTAGCCTCGGGGGAGGGGGGTAGAGCCTTAGATCCTCCAAAATCGATCTTGAGCCTTTCTCTAAGAAAAAAAATAATTATTGCTTTTTTTAAACCATTATTCGGCGGCAACTGTTTTTACAGTTGTGTTAGGATAAGACAAATACAATTTACATAGAATTCAATTTAGAGAAGTTAAAGTTACGTTACAATGTTCCTTGAAATAACAGGATTTTTTTACCTCACAATTATCAAGTTCCGCCACCCTCCCCCAAGTTAAAGACATATCCTGTTATTGTATCAAGAATACTTCAAATGTTTTTTGTTTTTGTTTGCGGTTTATATATTTTATGCACGTGTACATTTCTAATTCGTTCTTAAAACTTAATAATTCGACGTTTGATTATTATCGATTATTTTCATCTCTCATTGGGTTTTACAGAAAAATGCTGGGACATTTAAACAACTAGGTATATTGTTGTTATCTAACAACAAAGATGCTCTAAGTTCTAAATTATGGTGTACGTTTATAACGAGAAGGATGTTCTGTACACGATAGACTCTACTCTATGTTATTGTTTTATAACAAGAAGGATGTATAGAATTCAAATGGTTCTAGTGCATGTTACTTTTTGTGGCGGCAGGAAGCATGTTATTTATATAATAATATGAATTAGTTTATGTTAGTTTTACCTGATAAAAATGATTAATTCTAGATTGTTTTACTTTTTCTTGTGACCAAAAGGAAGGTCTGAGTTTTCGACAGTTCCTTGTTTATGTTTTAGTTGTGTGACGAGAAGGATGGTTTTATATATGATATATTCTACTCTTGATGACAAAAAAGATGATTTGTTTACGGTAAACTCTAGTTTATGTTGTAGCTTTGTGACGCTAAGGATGCTCGGTACACGAACCACCATAACTATTGTTACTCGGAGCGCGCGTCATGTAGGGCTATTGAAAACCGTACTTAGAACCTGTATTTATCGATCCTATCGCTTGCTTTCCAGGTCTACTTTCACTAATGAAAAGCGGCAAGCATTAGGAACTTCAAACACACACACACAAAAAATAATTCAACTTCCTTGATGCAATGAGTTGAAGATTGTGTTGAGTGTTGTGCTGAAGATTATGTTTATTCACTCTCCTTATGTAGGGATGGTCCAGCTTATTCAACGAAATGGTATTTTAAATATCTCTTCAATAGGTCATCAAAACCTTACAATACTATACAGTATTTCCTTTTGTAAAAATATATCACAAGTTCTGGAAGTGGCTGTAAATATCATAACAAACATTACATAATAACTGAAAAACCAAAACAATGGTGTCAACCAATTTCACTGAGACGACATAGTTTCAAACGGAGTATCCGTTTTTATAACTATTATTAATTAGTAGTAATTAAAAAAAAAAATAATTCTAGTGTTAACGATGTTATCATTACATTACCCCTTGTAGTTAGTTTATGTACAACTATTTGGTGTTCCTTTAAAAACCTGAAGTACAGGGTGAAACAAGTATTACAAACCGATAACATATAAACAATACATATTACAGTTGGAACCTCATTGTATTTAGAACTTGGTTATAAATTCAACCTTCCTATGTCTATTGAAACACTGCATTAAAAAACAAGCAAACAAGTAAAGAAAAAACTTTAAAAAGGAAGTAAATATAGGGATGACTAATATCAATCCTTCAAAAAGAATGCAAACAAGACAGTAGGGATAGTATTTGTATCATCTCTAATAGCACAGGCAAGAATTAGCACATAGCAATATATATATATATATATATATATATATAATTATTCAAATAACATTTAGTTTAAATTATCCAATTTTTGTCTGTTAACATTTCTACTACACTGTGTGCTTGTACTATTATGTAGGGATCATGCAAATGTCATCCCTACTATCTTGATAATAGTCATCCCTACATTTACTTCCTTTCATGAAAAGATTTTCCCTTACTTGTACAGTAGGAAGAAGACAGTGGTACAAACAACTGGCTATAAGGTAACAACATATTTGACTCGTACTGTTATAAACCACAGTAATGGCTTACGCAATCTCGTTAGAGAGTAGTAATAAGGTTTCTTTATTTGTTTCTCTAGCAAAAGATTATTCTGGCTATTAAACGGAACTATTCGAAACGTCAGAATGGTTTGAAGACAAAAACATTTAAAACTTGATTTCGAAAGGTTAGGGATTGAAGATGTTATTCTATCAAATTAAATCCAAAGTAAAACTAATATTACTGGCTGGTCAGCTTGTCATTTTATAATGTATGCAGTATTAATGAAATAGATATATATATACACACACACACACACACACACACACATATATATATATATATATATATAATTTCAAACATCTAAGTGGAAAAAATATCTGATCACAATATTACATATTGAAAATCAATGCTTTACTTTTGTCATGCCCCTCAAATAACTCAGCGAACCAATAACGTTAAAAATCGTATTTCGATACACGCATTGACAAGAAAACAAATAGCACATTGTATGGCTTTGCTCTTAACAACAAATAAACAAACAAACAATACTTCTATCATTAGTTTCAGCAACTATCCATCCCACTATTTCTCTACCATTATAAGTCCTAAAAGCATATCTCTTCTTTTACTTTTACTTTGAATACAGATTCACCAATCCTATTATAAGTCTCAGCATCTATTCTTTCACTACCTCGTGTTCTTCAGACTGTCCTTATCTACAGTTTCCGAGACTAGGTCTTAAATAAGCATCGCGACAAAAGTGTATGAAAGATGAAAGAGTAAATTTTACAATTCTTCTAGCTGTCTTTTAACTGCTAAAAACACATTTTAGTTAACGTTTATCATGGAAAATAATTATCATAAATTAATTACAAGTGTTAGTTGCAAAACTAATCAAACTTTCCGAAATAAATGACGAGTTAAAGATGCGCTAGAAAATAAATCTTAAAACAATATAATTGAAAATATTAGCCGATTTTTAACTATTAATGAAACAAACAACTGAGTTTTCTCTTGCCCCAGACTTTACTTAATTATAGGAACTTTGAGTACATTGTGTGCGTGTACTAATATATTAATTCATTCAGTTGCTGCACATAGAGAATTAAAGTGTTTTTGTATAAAGAAGTAGTTTAAGCAATTAGGTAAAAAACAAATAGCGTCTCATGCAAGACAGTCAAATAAAACTATGCAAATTATAGCATGAAATGGTGAGATGCTTTCTAGTAAGAGAAACACCTGCAGTGAAGGAACAACACAATAGTGGAGTTACTTTGTGAACTAATTTAAACTATATCTTCAAGCTTCATATCTGGAAGTATGTTAGTAATTATGTATTCAAAATTAGTAAAAGATATGGTTGTTCAATAACACAAAAGCTCATATCTAAAATTACCATTTATCATCTGTAGGGAGTTTTGAGAAAGCAATATAAAATAAAGTAAAATCAGGATACCTGAAGTAACAAGTAAAATGTATCTTGATCGGAATTGAAATTCTCTTTCTTTAGTTTTAATAGGAGTTTTCGAAGTTTATTTTCTCTCTGTAAAGTGTTGGATAAAAGCCCCACCCAACAAAGAGAAAATAAACTTCAAAGACTCTTATTAGTCAAAAAGTATCTATAGAAACTTGCATTCTAGTTTTTTATAATGGCCACATACATCACATCATCGAATATACTCACTCTTACAGCTGTGAGGACATTATAATGTGAGATTCAATCCCACTATTCGTTGGTAAAGAGTAAGTAGCCCAACGGTTAGTGTAGGTGGTGTCCTTCTAGTCTATCGCTTCTAAATTATCGACGGCTGGTGCAGATAGCATTCGAGTAGCTTTGAGCGAAATTCAATAAACAAACAAACGACATTCCTGCGTTTAAAACATAATGTCATAAATGTAAAGATAAATAAATACGACTATTAAAAACATCTGATTGTACCCTCTAAATTTCATTAATGTAATACATGGTCTAACTTTTAAATAAATGAATTAAAACACTTTCATTTCATTATTCGAGTGTCTAGTGATAAGTAAGTGCCCATAGACTATATGTAAACCCGAGGATTATAGATTCCAATCTTGTTATCGTAAAAAAACAACAACCTTGCTCTGCACATTCGAGTCGTGGGTGCGTTATAAGAGTGACTGTTTTCTCCCACGATTCGATGAGAGCAACCCAAGAGTTGACGGTGGTTGCTTAACTATTTGCGTTCTCTCTAATCTGTAATTTTAAATAAAGAGGATAAAAACTAAATAATTGGATTAGAATACAGTAATTTGCTTTAATTGGAAGTAAATTTCGCTCATTTTGTCAATCATTTAAAAAAATTTAATATACGCAGAAATAATTGACCTTTGCTTAAGCTTAATTGAAAAAGCACTCAACTGGACGGCAAGACGGGTTTTTTTTTTGTTGTTGTTGAATTTCGCGCAAAGCTACTTGATGGTTATGTGCATTAACTCTCCGTAATGTTGAAGTCAAAGACTAAAGAAAAGGCAGCTAGTCAACACCACTTACGCCAACTCTTGGACTAGCAACACCTTTACTACAGAATAGCGAGATTGATAGTCACATTATAACGCACTAATGTCTGAAAGGGTGCGCCTGTTCTGTAACGGGTGTTGCATCTGTGACCT